GGCTTTCAATTCAACGAGACATCGAAACACGATGAGTTTTTAGTGTTGTGGTATACTGGCACGTTTGACAATGTGTGTGGACCAGCCTTCGCCCCTCACATCAAAATGATTCCTGCTTCAGGGATCGACGGAATAACCGCGAGCGGATATGAAATGAAGAGGCTGGGATACAAAGACGTTCCATTACAGCTGATCGGGTCGAATGGTAAAGTTCTGCAGCTCGTGATTCGGTTCGGGGTGTTTCGGAATGCATCCACCACTTTGATCAGCGTAAGTCACCTAGCTAAGCAAAAGAATATGTCTTTCACATTTGGGAATGCCCAAGTTGTGGCAACCTCTCCAAACATTTCGGGTGAATTCGTTGTGAAAGAGCAAAATTTCTTATATCGTGCCAAGGCTAAGTTTGTTGACCCAGATCGCGTCCCCGATAGTATGAAAAATGTCATCTCGTCCGTTGCGTTCCAGAGGCCTCTAGAGGACCCCCCCGCAGATTTGTTAGCAGCGCTTCCGCGGGAAATGCCGCAGGACGGGAACGAAATGTGGTTCCTGACAAACGACGGGGAGCCATTCGTAGTGCGCCCCCGGACTAATGTGATGCACATTCCGGCTGGTAGGCTTCCAGGGGGACGGACGAAGGAAACGGTTGCGGAAAAGTTCTCCATCCACATCGCATGGGTTAAATGGAACACATCGCCCTGGCAACTTCTTGAGAATCGAACCGAGTGGACAAACCTCCAAAATCCGGAGGAAAGCTTAGGTGCATATGGCACTCTTCTCACAGCATTCACCGCAAAAGCTGAGATACGCGGCAATTCCGATGAGAAGGAAACCGCGGACTCCGAACAATCGTCGTTAGAAGCTGATGAGGCCCATACTCCTGTAGCCCCAAAGATCCCCAAAGGACCCACCAAGAAGGAAAGGGACGCGCACAATCTTACGCACATGCAATTTCGCGATTGGCGTGAATTCTGCGTCAGAGGCCGGTCGAAAAAATCGCCGTACAAACACGGGGAAGATTCCCCGTACCCGGTAGTTCAATTAGATTACTTTGTGAAGACGGCAGAAGATGCCAATGTCATAACATACATCTCCATCATCATTGTCGCGCCAGGTTATGGAGCATGCACACAAGTGAAAAATAAGGGATCATCCGACACGCACGCGATCGATTTCGTAGTAAAGCATTTGGAGCATGCGGGTTTCACGAGCACGATTGTTGTACAGACAGACGACGAGTCCTCCATCAAAGATGTTGCACGCGTGGTAGCAAGTAAGCGTAAAAGTAACACGCAGTTGCGGCACACACCAGCAGGACACAAGAAAGCCAATGGATCAGTAGAGCGATTTCATCAGAGTGTAGAGGCACTTTTGCGCACGCATAAACTTGCACTCGAATCTAGGTACAGCATGGTACTCACAAACACAAGTATTCTCACGTCGTGGTTGATTCGACATTGTGGATGGTTGCACAGTAGGTTCCAGAAGCACACTGACGGTAAGACATCTTTCGAACGTGTAAAAGGGCACGCATACCATGGTATGATAGCCGAATTTGGCGAGTGTGTGTCTGGCCGGAAAGCAGGACCAATCACAGCTAAAATGGAGCCCCATTTCGTGAGAGGCGCGTGGATCGGGAAAACCACAGGCAGCGATGAACACATGATTGCCAGCGCCAACGGGATCTTCCAAACGCGCACCATCCGCAGAAAGGAAAAGAATGCACGTTTCGACGTGAATGTTGTCCGGCAGGTCTATGGGGTACCCTGGGACTTGCAATATCGCCCAGGCAATGCCTCTACGGAATCCCCCGTGCCGCCTCCGCCACCCGCACCTGTGTCTAGGGATCTCGGTGTCACAGCCCAGGAGAGAAATTTACGTTTGTTTTGGCGCGAGTGGGGTAAAACCCCCAACTGCAAGGCGTGCCAGGACGGTGCGCACGGCAACACACACTCAGCAGAATGTCGGCGGAGACGGCAACAGTGGGAAGACAGCAAACAAGGTGCGGCACAGCGTGTCGCAGCCCCAACTCCACCAAGCGCCTCCCAGGAGCCCGAAACGTCCGATGGAGCGCCCGACAGACGTGTCCGGATTAGGGTTAAAGGGCCGCCTGTGGCGACTAACCCGGGACAGAGCAGCAATAGCAGTAGCGGGGATCCAGGACAGAGTAGAGGTAGCAATAGCGGGGGTACGAAACGGCAGGCAGAAGTTCAAGCTGAGGATTTGGACCAACAGCGCAGTGAACGGGAAAACGCACAGCACGGAGAGAAACGGAAGGCTGAAGGAGAGCATCCAGAGGATCCAGGATCTGCCACGATGGCAGCAATCCGCCCTATTTTAGGGCTAACTGAAGATACACATCTTTGCGAAGAGCCAGAGCCTCACGTGTGCGACTTTTATGACACACATGCAGAATTGTTGCGACAATGTTACGCCGATGTTGAGCTGATTGACGGCTTGCCCAAACCCTTAGTGGAGGCAGGCATGAAGCGTGAAATGGCCCATCTGGACCATTTTGGCGTGTACCAGTGGTGCAAAGAAGAGGAAGCCACATCGCAACCCATAAACTCAGGATGGGTCCACAATAAACGTGGCGAAACGGAGGTCCGATCGCGCATTGTGGCAAAAGACTTCAAGTGGGCAGCGGTCCGGGATGACGTGTTCGCGGCAACCCCCACTCCCACGGGTTTGAGAATTATCTTAGCAATAGCGATGAGAATGAACTATACCATCAGAGTAGGAGATTTCAGTGTAGCGTTCATGCACGCGGATATTAGTGACCAGGAAGTGTTTTGTAGACCTCCGGAACCATGGAAATCCCAATACCCAAAGTGGACTTGGAAGATGCAGAAAGCAATGAACGGGCTCCGGAAAGCACCGCAAAACTTTCAGGATTTTCTGGCTGAGGTTCTCGTGAAACGTCTGGGTTTCAAGCGGTGCCGGAGTGACCCCCAGTTGTTTGGGAGCGAGAAGAGAAACGTGTATCTCAACGTGCATGTGGACGACCCCATAACAGTAGGTCCAGATGATGTTGTCACGAGGTTTTTCGATGAGCTCGAGAAGCATGCCCTGTTTCGTAGAGGGGAGCGCTTCAATGCGCAATCGGCCGTCAAATATTTAGGTAAGTGTTCTAGGTTGCCGGCATTGCAGTGAGCCCAGCGCCGGGATATATTGATGAAGCGTTAGATGTAGTAGGGATGGAAGGATGTTCGGCTGTTTCGACTCCAGGGCACAAGACCCCAATGCCAGTGCAAGGGTCGGTTGGAGAAGAGTTTGCAGAGCTGACAGGGAAAGATCATCACAAATACTGGTGTGTAGTTGGTAAGATGCAATACATCCCCACAGAGAGGCCCGACATTCAATTCACGACGAAAGAACTTGCGAGAAAGCACGCGGCCCCCACGAAGGGAGACATGAGGAAACTAAAGCACTTCATGCGGTATATGCAGGGAACCAAACAAGAATGCCTGCATTTGCAAAACGGCGGAAGTTTGAAAGACGACATTGTTGTGTATGTAGACAGTGATTGGGCCGGGTGAAAGACAACCCGGAAATCCACATCTAGCGGTTACGTGTTTGGGGGCCCATGTCTCCTTACGAAATATAGTCGTACCCAATCAGTGATTGCCCAGAGCTCCGGAGAGGCAGAGCTGTACGCCATCGCCTCGGGAGCGGCCGAAGGCTTGCTAGCGCAGACGATCCTCACAGAACTCGGTCTTGGAGTGACCGTACGAGTGCGCATAAAATCTGAAAAATCTGCCGGGATTGCGATAGCCTCGCGCCTGGGGCTTGGGAAGCTCAAGCATGTTGACATCAAATATATGCACGTGCAGCAGCTAGTACATGCATCCCGTGTTCGATTGGGACAGGTGCCAGGCGCAAACAACTGCGCAGACTCAGGAACCAAGTTTTTCGAGTATGCACGTCTAGATGAACTGAAGAAGATGATTTGTGTGTGGTGAACGTGCACGATAATTCCCAGCACCACACGATACGAAACTAAAACAAAGCGTATCCGTAGCACTTCGGCTGAGTTCACTTTTCTGAGTCCGGATGTCGAAAAGCAGACAATATCAGGAGAGGTGGTTTTAGCTTTCAAGCGATGCCCTTCTTGCACCGACAGCAATGTACTTTATAGCAAAGCAGAAAGGTCAGAAATGAAAGGAGGCCCAGAACACTTGGGCAAAGCGCTGACATATCGTTTGGTGCAGCACATGATCTCAGACAGACACAAGCAGGAACGCAATCCGGCCGAAACCCTAGCGGAGGCCGTACCGATCCAGTATACTTAGTCCAACTGTGGCCTTGGCCAGAAGTGCCGCCGGAGCTTGCTTGGAAGAAGGCGGCGCCGCCGCCACCGCCACCGCCGCCAATGCCCCACGCTGGGGGTAAGCAGGAAGAGAAGGAAGCAAACGACCCAAAGGAGCTGCGAGGGCGAGCCCGCTCCAGGACCAGCCGCCGCAGACGCAGTCGCTCGTCTTCCTCTTCGACTGATGAGAAGCCATCATCGGTGAAGCGGCGTTCGCAGGACGAGGTCCTGAACGACGTCATGGCTGATATCCCATACTTGAACCTTAACAGCCTTGTAAAGGTCCTTGGTAGCGTTACCAGGCGCATTGAGGACGTCACTGCCGAGAGGAGAACGAAGCAAGAGTAGTAGGAGCGAGCAGGTTTTACAGGTGACTTGCAAAGCGCGGAATTTCTTTCCGAGGGGGTGGAAGTCCACCTCTCTCGTGGCTCTCTGTCTCTCTGCCTGCACCGCAGCCAGCTTGGGTCAAGCTGATCCCAGGAAAAAAGCATCTGCTGTCTAACACCTCCTCCTCCTCCTGCTCCTCCTCCTCCTCCTCCTCCTCCTCCTCATCCTCCTCCTCCTCCCCTCCCCGCCTCCTCCTCCTCCTTCTCCTCCTCCTCCCCCTCCTCCTCCTCCTACTCCTCCTCCCCCCCTCCTCCTCCTCCTCCTCCTCCTCCTCCTCCCCCTCCTCCTCCTCCTCCTCCTCCTCCTCCTCGGCGGCGGGGCGCGGGCGCACGCCAGGGGACCGACGACGGCCCACGTCCAGTCCGCTCGCGCGCGGCGGCCCGGGAGGGGGGAGAGGCGGCGGGCAGCCTCGGGGAGGGCGCTGGGGCACGGAGAGCTCTGGGTGCGCTGCTCGGGGCAGCGCGCGGCGGAGCCCTCTGCAGTTTTCGGAGGCCTCCCTGATGGGGTCGGAGAATCGCAACGCATCGCCGATGCCTCGGAACCGCATCGACAGGGCATCGGCGACGCCTCGCCGATGCAACAACAGGGCATCGGCGACGCCAGCGCGAAGCATGTCGGGCTCCACAGCGAACCGCCGCGGCGATGCATCGGCGATGCGGCGCTACCCTTCCACACCACCTGCTCGGACCCGACTTGGGAGACCTCGAGCTTCGTGTACCCCGGGGGGCCCGCTTGAAGCGGAGCACTGCCCAGGATGGACCCCAGGATGCACTGGGAACCGGCTTTGAGCGGACGATGTTCGTCGGAGGGTAGGGAGGGACTCGAGGATGAGAGACTCGAGGATGGGCGGCTTTTCAATATTCTCGGCCTTTTCTGAGCCCCCTCGTCGCCGAGGCTGGACCAGCAACGAGGTTCTGTTCGGAGCGCGCCCCAGGACGGGCCCAGGGGTCAACATTGAGGCCCGGCACCCAGGCCTCTCCCCCCCTCCCCGCCCCCCTCCCCGACGCGCGGAAGCGCACGCACGGCGGAGGAGGGAGGCTTAGATCGGGCGTCCCCCTACAGGCGGACTTTGGACGAAAAATAAAAATAGTCCAACATACGACAAAATGTGCCCAAAAATGCCCATACTATTTTTTGACTACTTCTGAATTTTCCTCCTGTGGAAGGACACGACAAAGCGTAAAGGGAGGCGGGACGAGGACGAGGTATGTTGGACGTTCTCGCCGCCCTGCGCCTCCAAGAGGGCGGGGCGCCTCGCCGCCACTGCTGAGCTCGCCTCGAAGTCCTGGCCAGATCGCCCCCCCCCGTGACGACCCTGGGGGGGGGCCGTTGGGCAGGACGGAGGGGGAGGGCTCGAGTCAAGGATCGACTGCAGAATTGGTTCACCCTAAGAATGACTTTTCTTGCCGAATCCATGGGAGAGACGTAGAACTTCGGTCAATGTACGAAGCTTCTCCGTTTTCGTCTACAGATTCGACGTGAAAACTGATGTGAGAGTGAATCATTTCTGTAGTCGATTCCCTACTCGAAGGGCGGTGGACGAGGGCCGGGAAAAAGCGGTGATGGCTCACTGGAAGGAGAAATTGCTGGAGATCTTGTCGAACAGATGCTCGCCGTAGGCGATGGGGGCGCCCCCGAGGGCACGGTCGAGCGCACGGTCTGAGTCCCTGGAAAGACCGTCCCCGCACGCAGACGGAGCCTCGTCTCTCGGAGGTGCTCCGACGGGGCGGATGACGGCGTCGAAGTTCGGCTCGAAGAAGAAGGCGACGGAGGTGCGGTAGCAGCCCACCTGCGTCTGCCGGACACGGTGCGGGGTCGCCTTGAAGCGCCTGCCGCTCCACACGTGCAGCATGTCGCCGAGATTCACCACGAATGCCCCGGGCAGCGGCTCGACCGTCGTCCAGTCGCCCGCCGCCGTGCGCACCTCGAGGGCGCCCGGCGTCTCATCCTGGCTCAGCAGGGTCCACCAGCCGTAGTCGGTGTGCTCGCCGCAGGACTCGACGCCGTCCGCCTCCCTGCCGCCCAGCGGCGGGTACCCGATGATCCTGGCCACCCAGAAGCTCCGGTCCACCAGCGGGGCCAAGTGGTCGGGGGGCAGCCCAAACGCCTCGGCCACACACGCGGGGGCGGCCCCGAGCTCCGAGTGGCCTCTGGTGCGTGGCCCACGCGGGACCACTGCGGGGCAGGCACGGCAGAGGGGCGGTCCGCGTGCCTGGGTCTGGCCCCCCCTCGCGGCCCCCCGGGGAGACGCGCGGCAGAGGTCACTCTGGCGAAGGGTCGCTCGGCAGTTTTCGGGCCACGACTCGGGTCTGCAGCGGCCGTTCGGGACGATCTGCCACCCCGCCACCCCACCCCAGAGCGCCCTCGGCGACGCGCAGCTGCTGGAGCGCCTGCGGAGGCAGGAAAACCTCTGGAGACCGAGGAAGACATCCGAGGACCCAGGCCGAAGCAACACGTGCAGAGGCCTCCTGGATGGGGTCCGAGGAGATGGGGTCGGAGGATCTCGCCGATGCATCGGCGATGCATCGGCGCCACCGGCGTGGAGAAAGTCGGGGTCCACATCGAGCCGAAGAATATCGCCAACGTATCGGCAATGCGGCGCGATCTTCCGACCCCACCTGCTCGGACCCGACCCGAGCCCAGAGTGCAGCCGAACGCCTGCGCGGTGGCATCCATCAGCGCCTGGCCCAGCACTCTCATGCGGGCGAAGTGCGCCTCCGCGGCTGGCCGCAGCGCGGCCGGCTGCGGCGGCCACAGGTTGCGGGACAGCGCCAGCCGCCTCATGCCCCGCAGCTTCGCGGCGCCGACCCAGGCGCCGAGCCCGTCGAAATCGATGTCCCCCTCGCCGGGCTCCGCGAGGAAGTCGATGGCCTCGTGCCAGTCGGGCCGGCCCTCGGTGACGTTCTCGCCCAGCCGCTGGTAGCCGCGGCCGCCCGCAGGGTCACTCGCCATGGATATCGCCGCCTTCTGGCTGGGGGGAAGCGCGAAGAAGTCGCGCGCCAGCCCGTGCAGTGCGCGCACGTCGTCGCAGGGCACGCCGTGGCCGACCAGGTAGAAGAACCCAGCGCTCTGGCTCGGAGGCTGCAAGAGGTGACCCTGGCCCACGGTAGCAACTCATGGGAGCCTCCCATACCATCTTGTCG